AAAAAGATTACAATCCATTGAATAAAATAGATATATGCATGTCCAAGTTGATATAAAACTAAATGAATGAATGAATGAATGAATAGATCATATAGTAGGGTGGTGGTGGGCAAATGCCAGCCAGAGTGGTGAAGGCAGGCATCAGATCTTGGGGCCAGGTGTGTTTCTTTATAGCTATCTGCACCTGCTCAGACTTCCCCTTGGGCTTGGAATAGACTTCCTGTTCCCCACCAGCTTGGTGTCTTCCTTCCCTCACTTCTCATGGCCCAGCTTTATGTTACCTCCTTTGGGAAAGTTTCTTGAATTTTTAGAAGCATCTTAGTGAAGTAATTATTGATCATTTGTTGTCTTATTTTTCATAATCCCTTTCTCAGTAGAAATTGTTTTTATATTTCCTAGCACTCTCTTTTTTCTTAGGGTCATGTTATCTTCTATATTTTTTATTTCCATTCCCCCACCCCCACTGGTGGGCACTGGAAGATTTTATCTCATTTTTTTTGATGCTTTATTACAGAGGATGCTGTAACATTAATGGCATTGTATTAAATTGTATCCCATCAATTGGTTGCAAGCTATGAAAATGAAAGTAATAGGGGTCAATTTAGTAAAAAAATTAGTTTATCTTGATGCCAGCTGTGAAAAATGCATAAGACTGGCTGAGAGCCAATCACAGAAGCCCTGTAAGGTACATTCTTCCACCTGCTTGCAGGAAAAACCTTATTTAAAAAAAAAAAAATCAGCAGATAACTGCAGCTCTCCTTCTGTCCTTTGATTTAGAGTTGTGTTTTGTTTTGCTCCCTGACTAGACAGTCCTGAATTGGGTTCCCTGACAACAGATGGCTCTGTCAGCCAATTGGGCCAAATGAGTCAGTGTATTTGCCACAATGATGGACATCAAACAGCCATGGAGGTATCAGGATGCCCACTCGCCCAGGATCAGAAACCTCATTCTGGTTTCCAGGCTTCCCTTCCCTGTTCAGGTCCTGCTGAAAAGAAACTTACAGAAGCTATAACAAAACACCCCCCCCCCCCCGCCCCAATCATTCTTTCTGAAGATTAGAGGCAAAAATGAAAGCCAGTTCAAGAAAAAGCAGGCCTTTTCTGAGGAGGGTGGGAATTTCCCAGTGTGGGTTAGACTTTAGGGGCAGGCCAGTTCAAGCAGCAGATATAAAATAGTACAGGTGCTAACCTTACCTCTGCTGCCCATTGAGCTACAAGTCACTTGATAGTTTTGTTTTGCTGGATGCAGACGTCACAGCCCTAACTACTTCAGCCGGCTGAGCCCGATCATATTATAATGATAATTGAGTTGCAAAGTGAGGCCAGATGAGTACCTATTTGAGACAGAATTCTGGAATATGATGTGCACAGCTCCAGGGAAGGAAGGGCAGCTTCTAAGGGGCTTTGGGAAGACTACCATTCCCAGTGTTTTTCTTTGTATTTTTATAGGTTTCCTCAGACCTGTTTGCAAATATTTCTATAATCATGGGAATTCCTGTATATTATAAACAATTATAACTGATATTGATATGATCATTTCTGATTTTCACAATAGGATCATATCTTTAGTCTCAACAGATTCTCATGATAGGGTCATATATGTGACACTTATAAAGCAAATATGGCAATCCTTACTTTGTAAATGAAGACAGAGACTTGGAGAGGTAAAAACATTTTCTATTTTAAAAGGAAGAGAATTCTGTAATTCTGGATTGAAGATGAGTTATTAACAGAAAACAAGTATCCAGTAAGCTGTATCTTAGGTATCTGAATAAAATAAAAAAGAATGGTGAGAAGAAAATAAATGGTTATTATCTGGCCAGATATTCTCAGTAGAAGATAGTATCAAAGGGATCTGGGATAGGTTCACCTCATACCTTATTGCCTATAAAACTTGGACTTGGATGTTCAAGGATGTCACTGGGAGACACCCCTCCCTAGACTTACCCAGAATTCTCAAGATTTGTAGTACCTGGAGAAATAGGGATCGGTGAGACTGCAGATGACTCAAGGCACTTCTATTATGTCAATGAAAATAGTTCGCAACTCACAGCAGCATAGGATACAATTCTGTTTTTCCTCTGTCATTCCTGCTTCCTACTTCCTTACTTCACATGCAGGCATTGGTGACTCCTCATCTGGTACTGATTAGTTAAGAGGAGGAGGATGCAGTAAAGCTAGAGAAAGAAAGAAGTTTTGATTTTCAAAAGTCTTGTTTTAATTTGAGATAAAAGATTAAGAGGTCAGTCAGATTCAGTTGTTCTTACTATTAAAGGGGAGATAAAAATTTCATGAAATGGGACAATGGCAAAGAACAAGTGGAGAATACACAAGGACATTGGATAAAGATGGACCCCAGCAAAGGGACCCTGGATCCTTCACTATGCTTTCTCCATGCTTCACCCCCTTTGTGTTTAATTCCTGAGGACAAAGTTGAATACTAGGGAAAGTGAAGATTTGAATATAAGCAGGAACCATGCAAATTTTCACAAGTTGTACTTAGGATGAAAACAAGGCTTAAGTTTCCCTGTGAAGGAGCAGAAATATCTATGATCAGACGATATTTTACCCTGAGGTCAGTCTTTTGTCGTGCATACCATAAAGAGGGGTCGTGTGCTGACTTTGGCAGAGGATAGGTCAAAGTTCAGATATGTGGGAGAAGGTGAGAAAATTAGCCAGTTTAGTTAGTATGTATTTTTTTCATCACCGATCAATGAGGATGAAACAGTTCAGCTAATCATTTCTGAGGCAGAGAATGGGAATTTTGGAGGTCTGCGTTGCCCTGTCACAGGTAGATAAGGAGGAATCTGTATGTCTTATTTAAGTCATGCATGGTACGGGGTTCTTTGCAATAAGTAGTTTTCTAGAACATAAGAGTGGGGGGATTTCTTTCTTTTTTATTTTTTAACTTTGCTGTTTTCTAGGATCACAGGGCCTAAGTAAAGTTTAATGTTTTAAATGGATGCCAGTAAACCAGGAAAATGGTCCAGTGTGATCAACCTAAGACATGTACATGGACTCTAAAAATGAAAAAAGAGCCACCAAACAGCAGCAACAACCAGGAACAAAACAAAAATTCCTACAAGAACAAAATATGAGCCTCATTTATCTCCTAATCAGTGTTTCTATACAAGAAGCCTGGAAAGTAACAAGATACTAAGTAGTAGGCCAAAGATAGTTTAACCAACCACATTTTATTTAATATCTACTCTACGAACAGTTTTGACCATGCAAGAGCTCAGAGAATATTGTGCCATTGAATCCTTCTAGAAGGAATTATTAGACAATGAATTTTGACCAAGTAAGTAATTAGGTAAACAGTGGCAAAAGGACTGGGAATAAATATTAAATGTATTTGCCTATAGAAACAAAATATGGAGATTGAGATGTCAGAGTGAAATATAGATATTACATGTCTTTACTATGTAGAAATGATATAACTAAACTTGGATAGGCAAGAGAGAAAGAAAGTCAGAAATTAGATAAATTTATTCTCACTTAATTTATTAAAAATAAATACTGTTAGTAACTAAAGTCAGATGAGAGAGATGAGGGGAGAGACGGGAAAGGAAGAAGAAATATCTTAATTTTTAACCATTAGTTATAGTAGGGAACTTAGAGATGTATTTTTAAAAAGTACATGATTAAGGATGTAATATAAAATTATTATTATAAAGATAACAACTAAAGGGAAAAAAACATAACTTGAATAGCAGATAAACAACACACACAAAAAAAAACCCAAATAAAATGGAATTTATAATGAAAGAAATTCTTTAAAATGACACTGAAAATGCAATACAATAATATGATGGAAAAAAGATGAAACATAACTTTTATATCAATAAGTCACCTTTTAAAAGGCTTATCTTTGTCTAACTTTTTACTTTTTTTAAGGCTTAACTTAATTTTTTAAAGAATTATTTTATTAGCTTATCTTAGTTGAGACATAGAGAGAGAGCAAGTATGCATAAGTAGGAGGAGGGTAAGAAGGAGAGGATCTCAAGCAGACTCTGAGCTGAGTGCATAGCCTAACATGGAGCTTGATCTCAGGATCCTGAGATCAGGACCTGAGGTGAAATCAAGTGTCTGACACTTAACAGACTGAACCACCCAAGTGCCCCTGAATTTAGTTTTTAAAGGAAATGAATCTCCAGAATGAATTATACAACCTGATTCTATGGCACAGACTCATCTAAAGCAAGGCACTTCAGTAAGGCTGAAAATAGAAGAATTAAAAAGGGCAGAGCGGAAAATACACATAAAAATAGACCAGGGACTCCAGTCAAATAATATTAAGAAAGATACTAATACTGCAGAAGTATGTGACTTAAAACAGACATACTATAGTTACGAATATCTGTGCACCAAACATTCAAAAAGCATAAATTGAAGGTGATAAAAGCAGAGACAGACATAAAAACACTAGTGGGAGACATGAAATCACCTCTCTTGGTCCATGCCTGATCAAGTGGATGAAAATAATTAAGTATATTGGATACTGAAATAACATAATTAATAACATAAGCTGATTGATAAGGTAATTCTGTACCTTATTAATTTTAAATAAACCTTGGAATATTTAGAAAAATGGGCCATGTATGGGAGCCACCAGAAAATCCTTAATCTATTCTGAACTAAAAATAAATAGGAACCTTAGGTATAACCCTCTCTAATCACCATACAATGAAACTAGACAACCCAAAGGCCCTTTAACTTGGACTTTGTAATAATATTTTCCTAAAATCTAAATTGAAGAAGAAATAAAAAATGAAATTGCATTGTATGTAGAAAAAAAATGTAATAAAAACACTTTAGAATCTATGGGATGTAGTTAAAACGGGGTTTATGGAAAATTCATCATCTTAAAACACTTAACCTCAGTAAAAAAAATGGAGTCATGGGGCTTGTGCACCCTTGTTGACTCAGGCAGGCCTAGGGGAAAGTGGTTCAGTGCAGGCCTGGTGTATCCTCCTGTCCAACCAGAGTGAGAGGGAACCATGCAGAAGGACTCTGGCCCACTAGTGCCTTCACATTGGGTCGGCTTTGGCAATGCAGCACTGATTGCTTCTGGTAGGTTCATTGGTTATGCAAAGGCAGGTAGTGTCCTGTCACTGGCTGCTGGGCTTCTTCCCTGTGCTTTAGCAAGCCTGGGTGCTTTTCAGCTGTCTCAGGATCCGAGGAACATTTGGGTTTTCCTAGCCACATCTGGAGCCTTAGCTGGCATTATAGGAATGAGATTCTATGACTCTGGAAAATTTGCGGGTGCCAGTTTGTCGATGGTTGCCAAACTTGGAATTACTGTGTTGAACATGCCCCGTCAGTAGTAGTCATGTCCAGCCCGGACTCATGAAGAATTTAAAACTTCCAGTATTTTTAGTGTAATGAGAGAAATTAAGTGCAGCATTTTCAAGTATTTTGACATTTTACTTACAAAACAAAACAGAATAAATTGACATTGAACTTTCTAGGAGAAAAAAAATCAGTCATTATCATTACAACCTTAAAGAGGTTGCTGGTATATAATCCAAGAGCTTATTGTTATATTCTCATATAGTTTGATTCTTGTATGTTGATGTTATCTCTTCTTTCTGTATCTATAGGTAAAGTCTCAAGGGGTAAAATGTTAGGTATTTTCAATAACAATGTTAGGTATTAACATAAAGCCCCATGCCCTGCTCAGAATGGTGTGAAAAAAATCTTTTATGAGATTTAGGATTTCTGTTCTTTGGCTCATCCTAGAGCACAGGCCTACTTTGAAATTATGTCAAATGAAGTATCAATGAAAATAAAGTTTACCATAAATTTTAAAAATGGAGTCATGAATAGATATCCAATTCAAAATTTAGAGGAGAGAAAATGAAATTAACCTGAGTTAAGTAGAGGAAGTTTGATAGATTGAATACGTCTCACTTTTTCAGTTCTCTCTGTATATGTCCCCTGCCTCTTGCCCTTGGGCTCCATCATGTGGATTTCTTTGGCAGATGGGATGCCAGTAGATGGGATGCAACAGAGGCTTGTAGTGCACATGTGCAGCAGTGTAAACTCGTGTGTATCTGCATTTGCCCTGAGAATAACATCCATCAGCTAGCCTGCTGGTTCTGGAAGAGAGACACATAAAGGAATGCTGCAGAAGCATCAGCTGGCCTGGAGGAGGATGAGAGACACATAGAGGAGAGCTGCACAAGCTATCAAGTGCATGACACAGAGCTGCTTTAACCACCACGACCTAGAGAGAAACTGTCCCAGGCAACACTGAAGTTCAAAAATGACAGTGCCATGAAGATTTTGTGGTTGTTTGCTATGTGGCATTACTAGGACAACACGAATGAATTAATTAGAAAATAGAATAATGGTGAATTAATTAGAAAGTAGAATAATGGTGAATTTTATTTTTAAGCTTTTATTTTAAAAATGTCTTTAGCTTTTGTTTATAAGCTTCTATTTTTAAAAAGCTAATAAATTGTTAATTTCATGCAGAGAAAGAGAGGAGAGAGAGAGAGAACCTCAATAGCAAAAGAACTATTAAAAGAGAGGAGAGAAATTTTGAGAAACAGAGGAAATTTAAAGCTCAATAAAATAATTTTGCTGTGATATCTGAATATATTTGTTATTTATTTATTTATTTATTTATTTATTTATTCATTTATGATAGAGAGAGACACAGAGACACAGGAGGAGGGAGAAGCAGGCTCCATGCCGGGAGTAGGACGTGGGACTCAATCCCGGGACTCCAGGATGGCGCCCTGGGCCAAAGGCAGGCGGCAAACCGCGGAGCCACCCAGAGATCCCCCGATCTGAATATATTTGAAAATCTATATGAAATATTTTATTTTCAGGAATACAAAATATTCTAAAACTTAGATGAGATAGAAACTTTAAACTGTTTCCATAGAAAAGAGCCATTTCCAAAAAACACCAGGCCCAGATAGACTCATAAAAGAAGTCTACTAAACCGTAATGAGTATGATAAGTTAATAATATTTAAACTTTTTCAGAGCATTAGAAAAAGAACTGAATTATTTTTGTAATGAATACAGATATCAAAATCTAACAAATGTTGCACAAAAAAGAATACTAAAGCACAATATCTCTTATGCACATCAGTGGAAACATTCTCAATAAAACATTAGCTAATGGAATCCAGCAACAAATAAAATGCACCAGAAACAACTAGGTTCAATTGAGGAAATGCAAGGATGGTTTCATATTAGGGCCTCTATTAATATCCTTCATCATATTGATACATTTAAGGAGGAAAAAATAATCATAACAAGGCTCTGAAAAGGCATTTGATAAAGGTCAACAATGATTTTGGATTGAAAAACAAAGAACAGCTAGATATAAGTTACCTTAACCTGATAATCTCACATCTTTATATCTGCCTGTTTTTCCTGTATCTTTCTCAGCCCCTAAACCACATGTTACTTACTATAGAAATAAATTGCTGTGATTGTGAGAGAGGAAGGGATAGAATCAATCCCCTAAGCTTTGTCATATTGTGTGGTTTAGGGGTCAAATCTGGTGCCCCACTGGCCGAATTTAGCACACAGATATGTTTTTTTTCTGGCCAGCACAATATTGTTTTAAGATGAAAATCTTAGTGTCTGTGTGATCCTGTACTTTCCCATTTGCTGTGGTCATCTACCATCTATTATTTTATACCAGATGCTGAGAAGCATCTGAGTTATAATCTCTGATGGAGAGTTGCCCGTGGCCATGTGTTTTCATCATTGGCTGTAGAAACCATTACCTTCTCCAGATCCATCTTTAAGAGCCTTTTCACCAGAGGAGAGCTATTAGCTTCAAAACTCAAAGTTTTAGATGATCCTCTAACCATGGTGAGAGATAATCCTTTTGAAGCCACTTTCTCAGGAGTAGGGGACCTAGACAGGGTGTGAAGGAGCATGTGTGGTTGTGCCACCTGTAACATATTTGACCTGTTTGTGAAAAGCTTTTCAGAAGAGAACCAAATGTTCCCCTTAACATTTACTTAAAAAATTAGAAAATGCGTTAGTAACAGCCTTATCTCCCAGATTTGCACAGGAAAGGACAACATGACCTTTTAAATATTCTTTTTTAGTTAATTCTTAGGATCAAGATTGAGGAAAGAAATTGCGAATAAATATTGGGAAAAAATATGACTGTTAAACAGCCAAACCTGGAAGAGTGAGCCCCACAAAAGGGAAAGTAATTGATAGATGAATAATACAATGTGTAAAGATGTATTAGTGTTTTCATTATTTTGTACTATTTCTATTCAGTTGGAGCTGATTTCCATAGTAATATAGTTAGCTAAAAATCTGCCTTTGTATATAAGGTCTCCACAGAAAAAGCAAATATGAAAATGGCAATTTTTAAAACAATATTCTGTTTTTTGTTTAATAAAACTAATGTTTCCAAATCTGCTTTTATTAAAACACAATAAATACCATCAATTTTTGACATGAAATCTCATTATATACTGTAAATATTTATCACTTTCTAGGGGAAGATTATGCAGTAGATGACTTCTCATTGATTCACTCATAAAGCTGAGTTAGAAGTGAAGCTTCTTTTTATTTTCATAAAAATAAAAGGAACTCAGAATTTGACATCCATTCCATTTGGACCAGCTAATCAGACAAAGCACAGATGGTGCACTTTTCAAGAGCATTTCTTTTAGCATTAGAAAAATTATAAAAGTAATGTTAATATAAAAACCTCCAAGGTAAAATAGAAAACAGACAATGCTATTGCAGAGATCACTTCCTCTCCTTTCTGGGATTTATTCTCTTACTAAATCTAAAGTTTTGGCATCAAATACCATATTTAAAGATGGGTAGAATGGTATAATTTATATCGTTTTATGTTTATAGATCTGAAAAAGAAAATCGTTATGCTCAGACAATAGCTTAAAGTGGAATACAAGGCAATGTATGGTCTTGATGTCAAGAAGACTAGGGCTCCTTGGGGGAACAGTGTAGCTCAGTTATTGGTCAAATTTCTACAAACTTACAGGTTCTTGGTCATTGATCATTGATGTCAACAAAGCTGTAGATTTGTGAGCTCTGACATAGCTTTTGAGGGTCTGGTGGAAGCCACCTATGTATATACATCTAGAAAATTTTGTATATACATTCAAGTGGGTCACAAACCTTCTGAGAAGTCTCACTAAGGATCCGTGGATCACTGGTTAAGGGCCCCTGAAATAAATACCCCAAACATTTTAATCCATTTATTATTTGCTCTCATACATTCCCTTTCTCTTTTTTAGAAATGTATGAATCATTGCCCACCTGCAAGTATTCTGATACTCAAAATCTAAGGTTGATTCCATCATTAAGAGTCTTTTACATATAATCCTACATTTTAGCTCCTAGTTGTAAATTTGTATTTTCAATCCCATGCCTTGGGACAAAAGAGAATAGAGTTAGACTTTATTCTTTTTATCTCTTCTTCCTTCTGGGCTAATGATGATGGAGGAGGAAAGGAAGGTGAGATTCTATCATCTTTACCAAATAAAAAAATAATCAACTCATGTAAGACCTGGCATGTTAATTTTTGGATATTTGCTTTTAACCACTAAGTTATCCCCTTCTCTCCCCTCTCATACAGTGACACATAATGGTTTGGTGTTTTTTCTACTGTACCTAAATTTTTTTTTAAATTTATTTATTTATGATAGTCACAGAGAGAGAGGCAGAGACACAGGCAGAGGGAGAAGCAGGCTCCATGCACCGGGAGCCCGATATGGGATTCGATCCCGGGTCTCCAGGATCACGCCCTGGGCCAAAGGCAGGCGCCAAACCACTGCGCCACCCAGGGATCCCCCTAAATTTTTTTTTATTGAATAACACATGATGAAACTATCAAAAAAAAGTTAGCCTTAGAATATTGTTTTTTTATTTTGACCATTAAATGCTTAATTCATGTTTTTAAAAAGTATAATTGCTTAGTAGAGAGAACTTAACATCTCAGAGTTCCCAAAGTGATTTTGATTTTTATGATCACTTTTGAAGAACAGAATTCTTTTTGTGGATGCAACTTGGTGGTGCAACTACTCATGTGCAGTTAAATAATTTTTCCTTTAAAGATAGTGGCTTTTCAATACTCAGTTGATGTATTTTTTAAAGGGACTAACTATCCACTTTATGAAAGCTATTATTTAGTTATTCTGGACAAAAAGAAATAATATCAAGCATAACATCCCAGACTCAGCCAAAGCCAATTTCAAATACTGGCCTTCTCTATTCTTGGCTATCATGATTATAGTGTTACAGTCAGACTCCAGGACTAAAAATAATGAAATGTGTTGGTCTTGAACTTGATGCCTAGAATATCATTC